CATCTCCCACCCTCCTCCCACACTGTGTCTGGTATCTATTATTGCTTTCTACGCTCCCCCCCCCATTTTATTGTTTTACTAAATATCTTAATTAAATATTTTCAATAGCAAGCACAGCTGATATATACATATCCATGAACACAAGTCTGACTTTAGGCATAAACCTCAGTGAGTAGAATGAACATACTATAAAGTAGCACCTAGCTAGAGCTATATAGCTTACTGCAGTCATCAAATAGGTATTTTTTAATGCTTTTTTTTTTAATTAAAAGAAAACCAGTTTTAGGTTTTATTTTTTCTGAAACTTTTTTTTAACTTAATTTACATTCATTCCCTAAGCATAGTCACAGATTTCCCATCCAGAATATACTGCATAGTGGCTTAATCATGCACATTATTGTCAAAAATTTTCCATTTCTAGTGATATATATATATATATCCTATTTCTGACCCTCTGTGCTTTCCCACCCTCTTCTCACACCTCTGGTGTCTACAGTAGTCTTCCATTCTTTTTCCCCCACATTGTATTGATCACACAATTTCTTAGACAATTTAACTACATTCAATAGCAAATTCAGCTGGTAATTTCAAGAAAGTAGTTTTAACTTAAATCAAAGAAATCCTAAGGAACGTTGCTTAAAACTTAAAGCCAGGAAACAGGTTGGGACATGAACCTATCTCCATCTCAAGACAGGACACAAATCCTTAAAACTGGACAACAAAGCCTACAAGAAAATCAGCAATGTTTTAATCAAAAGTCATAAAATTCTATTTCACCAATTAAATCTCATGTACTTTATCTTCTATTGTAGTTCGATTTTCCCGATTAAATTCTGGGATGTAATATTCAACTCCAGACTTGTCCCTATGATTAAGTTGGCCATTTTCTTAGTTTTTGAACTCTTATTTCTGTGTGTCTGTATTTAATTTTCCTGACATAGCACTCCCTTGAGAACTTCTTGGAGATCTGGTCTGGTGCTGGTAAATTCTTTCAGGTTTTATCTGAGAATGTTCTTGTCTTTTCTTCCCACATGAAGGATAATCTTGCCGAGTACAATAATCTTGGTTGAAATTGCTTTTCCCTTAACACTTTGAATATATTTTCCCATTCCTTCCTTGCTCACATTGTTTCTGATGAGAGGTCTGCTATTATCCTGATGGGATATCCTTTATAGGTAACTTGATGTTTTTCTGTTTCCAATCTTAGTATCTTGTCTTTGTCTGTGGTTTTGGTCAATTTGTCTATCATGTGTCTTGGAGAAAATGTTCTTGGGTTGATTCTATTGGAGGTCCTTTGTATTACTTGGGACTAGATCTTTGAGTGCCTCTCTAGGTTTGGAAAGTTTTCTTGCAGGATTTCATGGAATAGTTTACCAATGCCCTTATGAGTCTCTTCATCTTCTGGGATGCCAATTATCCGGATATTTGAATGTTTGATGGTATCTAGTATTTCTCGCATATGTTTGGATGTTTGTCTAAAGTTCCATTAGATCTGTCTAGAAACACAGTAAATGGAGATGAGGAGTGGAGAGATGAGATAAAAAGAAAAGGAAACAGAAACAACAGTGACAACAACAAAGAAACATAAAGAAAAAGGGAAAAAAAGTTAAAAAGTTATTATTATTATTTTTTAAAAGCACAAAATAGAAAGCCACGCTGCATGTGAGCACTCCACTCCAAATCACTTATTCTCAGGAGCCATGAGGAATCTTCTTCTGAAGATCTGCCTCTTGTCTCTCCTGCCTGGGTGGGAGGGGGAGAGGGGATTATTAACAAGACAAAGGCGGAGCTGAGAGCAAGAGAATACTTTACCTTTAAAAAACTTTTTAAAGGAAAAATTACAAAAAAAAGAAAAAAAATAAGAAGACAGAAGCAGAGAGAGACAGAGACAATGACACAGAGTCTGAGATAGAAGGCTAGAGGAGCTCCCTTCCACTCAGGTTTGTGGCTGAATTATCAGTAGAAAATCTTCATTTCTCTTTTACCCTGAAATCACTAGTTCTCAGGAGCCATAACCTTGGTTCGAGTCCCGGACCCGGCGGCTTAAACTCACTCCAGGGCGCGTGTGCATGCGTCCCCAAGATCCCAAGAGGAGTAATGGAGGAGAAGGGATTGCAGCGTGGCCATCCCCCCTGGGTGGCCATCCCCCATGGGGATGACTTCTCGTTTTCTGTCTCTGTCTGGCGAGCGCACGTGCCCTATAGCAAAAACAAAACAAAACAAACAAACAACAACAACAACAAAAAACCACAAAAACCTCTCCAAAAAAAAAAAAAGGTGAAAACATATACTTAAGTTCATAAGGGTCCTTCCCGGGACCTGCGGTTTCCTGCAACATTTTGTTGGTGTGAGCCCCGGCCCTCCACCCCCTTGGGGTGGGCCCTGGGCCGGTCTGGATAATCCTTGTCTTTCCTTTCCCTGCTCCAGAGTAAACACTTTGAGAATGGGCCGTACCGCGCATCTCGGTTCTTCTCTCGACCCCAGCCCTGGGCTGGGCCCATGGCAGGTGCGCCAGGGTCCGGCACTGAGGGTGTCTTCTCCCCGCAGCCGCCCCCGAGGGCAGCGTGGCTGGCGACCCGGCCTTCAGCCGCGCGCCGCGCTGTGCGCAGGTGGAGCGGGCGCAGCACTGCAGCTGCGAAGCCGGACTCCACCTGAGCGGCGCCGCCGGCGACAGTGTCTGCCAGGGTAGGCGCGGGCTCCGCCAGGGGAGGGCACGGGGCGGGGGAAGGGTCCCACCCGCTGCGCTCCTGTTTGTTCGGCGCACCCAGCCTGCGCCCAGCGGATAGGGCGGACTGCGCGGTTTCCTGGGCGCGGTCTCAGAAAGCCTGACCCACCTGGCGTTTTAGGTGAGTGTTAACCTCAAGGTTGCTAGGACGTAGCTAATGCGCAGACATGGGGCGGGGGCGCGGGGACAGTCCCGAGAAAGCAAGCCGGTAGAGAAAAACAGCCCAAGCCACGAGCGCTCCAGAACTTTGACCTGGATTATCCCCTCCCCTGGATCCTGGCGGCAGTCTCCACCGGTGGCAGGGAGGAAGGAGCCTGATCGCGGTGCAGGCAGGCTGGGCGGTCGAGCTCTGCAGGGGCCTGGGCTCCTTCCCTGCCCCGCTCTCTGCTTAGCTTACTGACCCGCTCACTTTGGCCCACCTCTTCTGATTACAAAGTTCCCGAGCCAGTTCAAACCTCCATCCACCCACCCACCCATCCACACATGCACCCACACATTCACCCACCCTGAGACCTGGTTAGCTGGCGCTACGTTATTCCATCTGCAGAGATGGGGAAAGGGACAATGACTGGGAACCTAGCCCTACTCTGAGCTACAGGCTTCGATTGCCAGCCCGGGCAGGGTCTTCCCAGCTGTCTTCAGCCGTAGGAGAGAGGCACCTTTGGGTCTCCCACATCAGCTTCCTCTCATTCCTTTCAGCCCTCTGGTCCCTTGACTCTAGAGAAAGGGGGCACACCTGCTCCTTTTCCAGGTGTTCTGCAGGAGATAGGGCTCCGTGGTTGAATCAGGTCCAGCCAGTTAACTGCAGCTGCCCGAGAATCCGGGTATCTAGTTGCAACCACGTCTTAGATCACAGCTGGTCAACGCCCACCGCATGGCTCCTGGAGTCATAGTGGGCACTTCTGTCCCCAGATGTGAACGAGTGCGAGCTGTACGGGCAGGAAGGGCGCCCCCGGCTCTGCATGCATGCCTGCGTGAACACCCCCGGCTCCTACCGCTGCACCTGCCCCAGCGGATACCAGATGCTGGCCGATGGGAAGAGCTGTGAGGGTGAGTGAGTCTACAGCAGAGGCAGGTGGCTTCTGCTGCTGTTGTGAACCCCAACCCCAGGACCTCAGAGTTGGGAATGGGTGGTTAGAAGAGTCAAGGACTCAGATACATTCATTCTGTAAAAAACTACCAGCAAAAAGGCTTTTCAAAGGCCAGGCTACATCATTATCTACCATTAGCTTAAACTTGCTAATAGTCTCTTTCAACCTTACGCAAGTCACTGCTTTCAAATTAGGTTACTTCCTCCCACTGGGCAATACCTTCCGCTAGGGCTGGATCTAAATGCAGAGCAGCCAGTCGGTCACTCATGTCATGCAATCCAGAGAAGCAAAGGACCAGAGACCCTGTGTGAATGCCTACAACCGCACCTCTGAAAGGGACAGCACCTTGTGGGCTTTCATGCCAGATATGGTCAGGCTCCACAGTGCTCGCACATTTAATGGCTAGCTAATGGCAAGGGAGGCCAGGTACCCAGGGATTGGCAAAGGTGAGGCCTGTTATCCACCCACCATCCCATCCATCCGCACATACACTCACACATCCATCCA